TGGCTGCACCACGCAAGCAGCGTTTTCCACATCAATTTACCGACGATGTTTCGACACTTGTGCATTTGGTAACCACCAAAGTGGTGGGTTATCACAGTGAAGAGCCGAAATTGGCGCAATCGCTGAATGCCAGCTTGGGTTTCTTCATATTTGATCTATTCAGCATAATGGATCGCGGTTTTGTTTTTGGTCTCATTAAAACCTATTATAAAGTGCTAATTTCGAAGAATGCATCCATACCCGATTTGATGAATTACAAAATAGATTTTTTGCGTATTGTATGCAGCCATGAACATTTTGTGGCATTAAATTTGCCATTCGGCACGCCCTATACCACGGTTTCAGCTCCCTGCAGTCCAACACCGAGCACAACGTCGAGCAATAGTCAAACTTCTTATGTAAGTTGTGGATGCTGATGCGAATAGTGACAGATAGTTTATTTACAATTTTCTTACAGAGCTCCATGGAACGCGCATTGCATGCAGATTTGAGCGCTGATTTTCGCCAGCAACACTTTCTGGTCGGCTTGGTGCTTAGCGACTTGGCGACAGTGCTCGAAGTGCCGTATGTATCGATTCAAAAACTTAAATAAATATAAATGCATACGAAAATTCATTTTTTGTGCTTCTAGCAATCCTCAGCTGCACGGCAAAGCCATTCGTTGTATCCGCAATCTAATGACCTCACACGATCTAGATCCACGGTATAGCGAGGTTGAGGCGCGCGCACGCGTTGCTTCGCTCTACCTCCCTTTGCTAGGTGTTGTCATGGACGCCATACCGCAGCTGCACCAATATCTCACAGACACGCATGATCGCCTGCAAAGCATTGGTCTGCTTGAAGACTATCAGGGCCCGCACCAGAGCCTCTCCACTTCAACGATGAGTGCCGACTTCGCCTACGCCAACTCTGCCCATCGCGCATACAACTATCTCAATGATCAAATCAAAAATAAATCACAATTAAGCAGTGAGAATACACGTCATTTGCTCGCCTGTTGCATTTGGGTGTTGAAAAATCTTGAACGTAGCGTCTTATATCGCTGGCTACTCGGTCTCAGTCCACATCGCGTGCATCAAATGTTACAGCTCTTGAACACTTGTATACCCTGTTTCGAGTATAAGGGCCAAAAGCGGTTGCCCTCACTTAAGCGCAATACGCAAAGTTTCCGTAAGCCAACCGATTTGAAAGAGAAGCTCGAAGAGTGTATACGTGGTACCAACTCGGCGCGCTATGATCTGATAAACAGACGCAAAGATCGCAATTCGACAGAGAAATTTCGTTGGCGCAAAGATCAAATGCCATACCGTTCGCAATTATCCGATAATACCAACAAAGCAGATCCGGAATTGGAGTTAAATCATTTTATTGAAGGCTCTTTAGCCACTGAAATTTCGTTGATTATTTTAGATGCTTTGGAAATTATTGTACAGGTTTCCACCAATTCGGAAATGCATCACAACCTGTTGGGTACAGTTTTGAAAGTGTTGCTGCATGCACTCTCACGCAATCAAAGTACATTATCGCTTCAAAATCAGTTTGCTTCGCAGCGCGCATTAATTTTCAAATTCCCCAATTTGCTGTTCGACGAAGAGACGGACATTTGTGCGGATCTGTGCTTGCTTTTGTTGAAGCACTGCGGCTCATTGCTGCCGGCCATACGTTCACAAGCTTCAGCTTCGCTGTATCTGCTCATGCGACAGAACTTCGAGATTGGCAATGTAAGTGAATTAGAAGCAGTTTGAATGATTTTCATCAATCTTTTCCATTTTTGATGTTCCCATTTCCAGAATTTTGCGCGCGTCAAAATGCAAGTAACCATGTCTCTCAGTTCGCTAGTCGGCACAAGCTCTGCATTCAGCGAACAATCTCTGCGACGAGCACTTAAAACCGTGCTCGTCTATGCCGAATCAGATCAAGATCTACAGGAGACCTCATTCCCCGAGCAGGTGCAAGATTTGCTTTTCAATTTGCATATGATCCTCTCCGACACCGTTAAAATGAAGGAATACCAAGAAGATCCCGAAATGCTGCTCGACCTTATGCATCGCATAGCCAAGGGATATCAAAATAATCCAGATTTACGGCTTACCTGGCTGGAAAATATGGCCAAGAAGCATCGTGAACGCGCCAACCACACCGAAGCAGCCATGTGCTATGTACATTCAGCTGCGCTAGTTGCCGAATATCTAAGCATGTTGGAGTCACAACAGCATTTGCCAGTAGGCGCTGTTAGTTTTCAACGGGTTACGCCAAATGCGCTCATGGAATCCGCCGTATCGGATGATGTGCTAAGTCCCGGCGAAGATGGCATTTGCTTGGGTAATCACTTTACTGAAAGTGGTTTGAAAGTATTGCTGGAGGAGGCATCGAATTCCTTCCAAATCGCTGGCATGTACGAAGCCATGAACGAAGTGTATAAAATACTGACACCCATTTGTGAGGCGAATCGAGATTTTCAGAAATTGGGCAAAATACATGGTAAGCTGCAAGAGGCCTTCAACCGCATTGCACAGCTACAGGGTAAGCGGGTATTTGGTACCTATTTCCGGGTGGGTTTCTATGGTGCAAAGTTCGGTGATTTGGATCAGCAGGAATTCATTTACAAGGAGCCGACGCTAACTAAGTTGCCGGAGATTTTCAGTCGACTGCAGGTAAGTGGGAGGCGTTGTTAGAAGAAGTATGTACATAAGTGTGGTACGTGTGCGTAAAACGTGGAAACAAGTCTAAAAGGAGATGAGTGAATTTGGAGATTTATGAAACATTGATATTGATACGTATACATACGTACTATATAACAATAACAATGTTGCTGAGCATACAGTAAATTCGATAAATATAACTAATATGTTATCGATAAATACACACATCGATATATTAACATTGATAACATAGATAAATATGCTAATAGTTTTAGTTCATTGCAAAAATATATTTATAATTTGTTCATACATTTCATATCGATAAGTATAGGACTACGTAATCGGAACTTCCCACAAACTCTTTGAAGAATTTGTATGCTGTTACAACAACAATATAACAATAACGATAAATTACTGAACTGGTAGCATACTTCTAAAATTTAATTAAAACGCTAACGTCCCATTTCAGAACTTTTATGCCGACCGATTTGGTCCCGATTCAGTGCATATAATAAAGGATTCGAACTCAGTGGATGTAAATTCACTGGACCCCGAGAAGGCCTATATACAAATAACCTACGTGGAGCCCTATTTCGAAACCTACGAGATACGACACCGCGAGACACACTTCGAACGCAATTTCAATATAAGTGCGTACACATAAACTTAGTTGTTCTCAACAAAAAAAAAAATAATAATAATTTTGCAATTCTTTATTCTCCCTCAATAGAACGATTCATATTTGCCACACCATTTACCAAATCCGGTAAGGCACACGGTGATCTGCACGAGCAGTGCAAGCGGAAGACCATACTCACCACAGCCAATCATTTTCCGTATGTGAAAACACGCATACAGGTAATTGCGCGGCAGCAAATCATACTCGACCCCATCGAAGTGGCCATTGAAGATATACAAAAGAAAACGGCAGAGCTGGCGGCTGCCACCAATCAAGAGCCTGCCGATCCGAAAATATTACAAATGGTGCTGCAAGGTTG